TGGGGATCTGACATTTCACATGCGTCCTTCAGTGCCCTCATGGACGCGACTTCCTCCACCCCGCCTCCCCCTCGCAAGCCTCCTGCCCAGCCCACCTCCACCCGAGAGAGGAGCTGTGGGAACACTGGCCTGGTAGGTGCAACTGCGGCTCCAAAAGGGATCCCAGACTGAGCAGTGCTCTTCTTCAAACCCAAACCCTCAAGTGAGAGAGAAAGGGCCCTGGGGACAGAGGGACAAAGCCCCCAGGGAGGGCATGTGGGATCACAGGTAGACTGACGTCCTGGATACAGGTGAGGGAAGAGATGTGGACAATCTGTGCTACTTAAGAAAGGCCGTAGCGAATCCCACCCCCTTAAAGAATAAAAAATGGAGGGAGGGGAATGGAAGAGAAGTGGGAAAGACGAGGAGGAGAAGGGACAGCCCTGAGAGAGAGAAACTTTTCACCTCAAATACTGCAGGGCGAGGTTACCTGGTGTGCTGGAGCCAGCAGTGGCGTTTGGGTCCTCGAAGCTGGACTCAAAGGGACAGCCCTGAGAGAGAGAAACTTTTCACCTCAAATACTGCAGGGCGAGGTTACCTGGCGTGCTGGAGCCAGCAGTGGCGTTTGGGTCCTCGAAGCTGGACTCGGCCACCTGGTGATCTCGACTTGTCACCTACAACCACAGAAATCAAGCATCAAGGCAGGTCATCAGCAGGACTCAGGACACGGCGCCACAGCCACCAGGAGTACAGGAGGGCTTCAAAGCTCGCCTCCTACTGAGAAGTGCCGAGAGACACGTATGCACGTTTCCTCCACTCTCCCCTACAGTTATGGGGGGCAGGAGGAAGCACTGGAACTGCCCTGGCTAAGGCCGAAGCCCGTTTCTCAAACCTTTTGTGATCCAAGTGCCTGCCAGGGCCTTGGTGCTGCCCTGAGCCTACTAACTTCCCACTCGTGGGCGCTGTTTAGGACTGGCAAAAGCCACAGAGGACCCTCCAGAGTCACCGCATAGGCCAGCCCCTGCCCTCACGTCCAGCCTCCCACTCTCAAGCCCTCTCTCTCCTCCTGGCTTCCACTCCAGGAAGAATAAGGCCACAGGGGCAAAGGGCTGTGAGACCTGTGCTGCCTGTGCCCACACAGTTTGGACACAGGCTGGGCTTTTAAGAAATGGGCATGGCCTGAGCAAGCTCCCGAACTCCCTGGAGCTTCCACGGGCTCTCTCTTCCCTTTCATCTCCTGCAGAGTGGACTGAGGGGCTGCTCCTAAGGCCACCCTCCCCGCTTGAGCTCGGGCTCAGGGTCTGGGTCTATACAGTATTCCATCGGGATGTGGGCCACGCAGCTGCAGGCACACGCTTAGATGCCATCCTGTCCTAGTGGACTGGGTAGCTGTGGAGCTTGCACTGAGTTCGAGAGTCCTCACCCGGTCCATCCTCTGTGCAGCATGGTTTTCACCTTGGTGGGCACAGTTGTGCCATCTCTGCTTTAGGGCCCCATGGTCCCCCATGGGCCCTGTGAGTGAATGTGATGACACTATCCACACGTGGCACGGGCACTGCCTTGCACCCCATGTGATCTCAAAAACCAATTTCTGGATCCTTGTGTTATTTCAGAATTGCTTCGGGGACATGCTTTGTAAATAATGAGCTCCAGAGGAGGCTGGGGAAGACGAGGCGGGCCCCTGCGGCTTGGTCCGATTTCAGCCCAGGTAATTACATTTCTGCCTCCCTTGTGTCCCCACTTCAATCAGATGGCTGCTATTCCTTGGCTCTCCTCTCTAACGCGGGCTGGTGCTGGGCAGGTTCTCAGGCCCAGCCTTCGTGCCAGCACCAGGGTGTGAGCTGCTCCTGCTGCAGGGTCCATGAGGGGTTCTGAGAGACAGGGAGGACCGGGCACTGCCTAAGTGTCTCTTCTGACCCCACTCCTATGCCTTAGAATAACCATTTCCGTGCTACTTCTCTCCCTTGACTCTCTCCTGTGGGGAGGGGTCGGGGGGGACAGTTCGTGCCACCATGGGCACACACCATTCTCACTACAAACATTATGTGCCAATAATCAATTCTGGAGACCTATCAAAAATCTTCCACTAAATCACACAAAAAAGAGCAGGTGCCCTAAAGGTTTGTTTCATTCCATACTCTCTTCCCATATTGAACTTTCTATTTGACTTTGGGTAGTGGGGTACCTAGAAAACTGCTGCCTAAAAAAAAGAATCTTCTGGTAATAAAGAAATATAAAAAATAACAAGAGAAATAAAACACACAGTGGGATGAGGTCAGGAGGAAACTGGATTTGTTTCATATTTGGCAGAAGCATCCCTCACTTGCCTCTGGCTCCAGGTCAAATCTAGTTTCGCGAGGAGACAGCTCCTGGGAGCGCATCTATCACCTCTCACCAGAGGGGTGCCAAGGTTTAATCTGAATGTGGCCTTCCCTGATGTCAGAAGCCACCTCGCCATACTAAAGCTGTGCAGAAAACAGCTGCTCCGTTCACACAGCATTTCTGATGAACTAACTATAAAGGCAGCAGGAAAGGGTGAGGTGAAATGTATCCTGGGCATAGAATTTAAGTTGAAACATGAGTTCAGCAACAAAGGCTCATGAGCAAAGCGCCTCACAGGGGCAGGGGCAGGGCTGCGGCAAGGAGGGGCTGCAGGTGTGCTCTACCCAGGCCTTACCGACTCTCCACACGCTGTTTTTTTTTTTTTTCTTTTTTGTCTTTTTTTACTGACCAGTAACGGGATCGCAACCCTCAGTGTTGCGTCCATACGGCTGCAGGTGTGCTCTACCCAGGCCTTACCGACTCTCCACACGCTGTTTTTTTTTTTTTTCTCTTTTTTGTCTTTTTTTACTGACCAGTAACGGGATCGCAACCCTCAGTGTTGCGTCCGTACGGGGGACCGGCAACGGGATTGCAACCCTTGGTGTTGCGCCCGCACCGCGCTCAGCCAGTGAGCGGGAACCAGTCTCCACATGGGATCCGAACCCTCGGCAGGAGCGCTGCCCCACTCCCAAGTGGCACACTCTCCAGTGCGCCACCAGGCCGGCCCTCCACACGCTGTTTTGACCAGCCATCATCATTAAAAACTCTACTGGCATTTAAGCACATAAGCCAATCTCCCCTCATCGTCCTTTATTTTAGGAAGCTCTGTGGCTAAGACATGGAAATTCTGCCCCGTTTCTGTAATAAGTTTCCCACTCCTGGGTGAGGTTGACCACCTACTGCTGGATTTAGGAAGAGCTGTTCTTTGGGGGCAATTATCAGCAATTGCGGAAAATGTGAATTGAGTTTTAGGCAATCTTCAAAGATATTTCACTTACAGATTTTAAGTGTAAAGGTCATTTCCTTTGAACATACAAATAACTTTCAGGCTTGGGGCTAGCCATACTCTGTCATGCCCACCTCTTCTAACGACTTCTAGCCTCATAGTCAGGGTCCCCTTCTGCCCACCATATTGCCACCAAATTAAAATTCCTAAAGCGCAATGGATTGTGTCAACCCCAAAGCCAAACTCTTGGATGGCAGCCCTATAGTTTGACATCCAAAGTCATAAAACCTGTACCCAAACTATTTCAGAGACCCCCTCTTCGTGCCTGAAGCTCCTGGCTGTCCCTCCTCTGTGCCTTCCTTTGCCCGCACTGTGTCCTCCACCTTGATGGCTTCCTCTTGGGTCACATGCACCCCAACCCTCCCCGGAGTGCCAGGCCCAAGCCTTCCTCTGAAGCCCCAGACTTGTCCTGTCCTGTCACCACATCAGACTGTCAGTTCCTTGAGGGAGGAGGTTCTGTCCAGTTCATGGTTCTACATCAATGGAGTATCACACGGACCCAAGTAAGAACATCAAACTGGCAAATTCTCAATAACTTTCCTGCCATAGAAAGAAATGCCCTCCTTGTGATCTTGCTGAAGAGGAACAACATTGCAACCTAAGTCAGAAGGAAACCCATCCATTTGGGTGAACGGGCCAAAATGAGCATTTTCATCACAGGGTGCTTCTCCTTCCTGCAATGAAAACACCTTCCCACATGTGGCAGGCTCAGCCCCAGCAGCATCTTCCTCTCTCCACCCTAACGAGTGCTGATAGGCAACTAATATGCCTATGTCCTAACACAGAAGCAATTATCTTCCTCTCACCCAGGGAGAAGGGCCTGCTGTGAGGGGCAGCCCCTCACCTCTAGTCAGGGGGACAGGCCACCCAGGGAGGTGGCATCTGGTAGGCAGCCTTCCCTCTGTGGACACTAGTGAGTTTCCAGATCCCAGACATGTCTGTGGAGTTGAAAAGTGCTCTAGACCATGGGGTCAAAGAGATCAGCCTGAGGGATACAGTGGCCCCTTAATCACCAGATGCTGCCCTGCTGCTCCTGAGATAGGAGGTGCTCAGTTTCCCTGGGTCCATGTTTCAGGACACACCTCTGGATTTCAAGCCACTCCCTGACGTCTCAGGCCCCTCCTCTAGGCCCTCCCCTAAAGGAGAGTTACTGTTACTTATTGCACCTATTTTCAGCACCAACATGGGGAAATTGAGACCTCAGGGAGAGGACTTATGCAAATTCAGTAGCTGAGCATGCTCAGTACAAGGAATTCATAAAGGCTTATACAACCCCAGTGACTGAGCATGCTCAGTGGTAGTTTATCCTTTGAATGATCTTCCACTAGAGGTGCTAAAGAGAAAGCATAGAATATTCTTGAATATGTTCAGTGCATGTGATATAATCTGACCAATGAACATGCCCTAAAGGGAGACCAACTGAGCATGTGCAAGCCTATGTTACATAACTGGGAACCACCCCCTTAGTCGAATATTCATTAGATAGCATGAATATGTATTAGATAGCCAAACTATAAAAGTAGAATCCGAGTAGGAGGAAGGGTTGTTGCTCACTTTCCTGGGGCAGCCTGCACTCTGTACTAAATTTAAGTATGTATTACTTCTGTGTTAAACTTGATGCGGGCCCTGCTCTGTCTCTGGAACTAGGCCGCACTTTCTCTGTGAAATAAGTATCTCTTATTTGTTATGTTAAACCTGTTCTCACTTTCTATTGTGACTCTGCTCTTGAATTCTTTTCTGTGGTGGAGTCAAGAACCTGGTAAGAGGACAGGATGGGTTGCACGTCCCACAGCCTGTCATGGGGTGAGTGCCACTTTCTCTACCACCTGAAATGGGATCGCTCCACCCCTCCTTGGGCACCACCACCTCCTCCCTGGTTTCCCAGGCTCCAGTGACCATCTCTGCGACTAACACAATCTCTGTAGGGTCCTGAACTACAGATCCTACAGTCTGGTGGACACACTCAGAATCCAACCAGCCACACCTAGACATGTCACCTCCACCTAGGTCCCACTCATCTGAGACTCACCCTGAGCAGCCTTCTGTTTGGTGGATATGCTGTGTTCTCCCTTCCCCTCTGAGCCTTTGCACAGGCTGTCCCCTCTCCCGGAGCATTCCTGGGCCCCTTCCCCTCACCTTGCCTACCTGAGGCCCACCCAGGCTGAGCTCTTAGATCCTCCCTAGACCCCCAAGTATGGGCTGGGTGTCCCTGACAAGTGCTCTGCAGTGCATTGGGCTCCCCCTGGAGAACTGAAGACTGTTATCTCAGCCTGCCATCTTCACTGATAATATGGACTTGAGCACTTTTCATCATAAAGAGAAACATAAACCATGTCAGGAAGGCAGAGGCTCCTGCTCAGCTTTAAAAGGAAAAAAAGTCTCCATTACTATGAGTTTAGGAATGAGATTTCAGGGTCACGCTTTGCCTCCTCACTGAAGAACCCCTCCCTTGCCAGCAGTGCCCACGCATCTGTTTCTACCAGGGGCAGAAGAAAATCCCCCAGTCCTCGGCTGTCGTCTGCAGGCTGAAGGACCACTCGGGGCATCTCAGGGCAGGGGCAGATGGCAAAGGTGCTGCTCAGGTGCCAGCTGCTTGTGTGAGGATGCTGAGCTGGCCTGCCACAAGCCACCCAAAGGAGACTGCCAGTGCAAATATTTCCCCCACACTGTGCTGAGGCTAATACCGGAGGCCATAGGGAAGGTGAGTCTCTTCTTGCCCCATGAGCACATGGCCTGCAGGTGACCTGTTCATGTATGTGACTGTCTCTGAGGCCTGTGCGGCCGAGCTCGTACAGTGGCATGGAAACCATTTCTTGACCACAGAGGTTCACAAGGTGGGCACCTCCTTGGTCAGCGGCTGGGATAAGGACTGGCACTGCTGCCTGGCCTGTGCACACGTGGGCCCTCGGGGTCTCAAAGGGGCTGGGAGGAGAGCTCCAGGGTGGTTTCAGAAGGTCTGAGCCTTGTACCAGGGCAATCACACAGCAGTAAGCAGGGACAGTGGCCGGCCAGGCCTGACCCAATATCCTGTACCGCTGCCTGGCCAGTGATCAGGGTGCTTGGTGATCAGGGTCCAGGACTATCCCCTCCCCAGTTTTCAGCATATTGCCTCTGCTCCCCTGAGCCCCCCACAGTCATGCCCAGCACAGAGAAGAACCTAAAGACCTGGCAGCTCAGGCACTTCTCGAGCCTCAGACAGAACCAGGGATCCAGAACTTCTTTCTTACTTCCCCAGGAGCTGATGAGAGCATGTCGTTAAGACAGGCCGGGGTCCCCCAGGTACTTGTGCTCAGACACACCTAAGTCATGATGCACAGCCACAGTGACCGAGTCAGGTAAGCCCAGGGGAAAAGCACAAGTACTTGGGTCCCCCAGGCCTGGGCTTGAATTTCTGCAGGATCCATTCTGAGCCTGATGCCCCATTTGCTTACAGGCTTAAAGAGACACAAATGCACACAGCAGGCCTCAGGACAAGGTGGTTGCGGTGCCAACCACACAGCCAGCTCAGGTCCTGGTGTGGTGCTTCCTGGGGGCAGGCTGGGAAGGTTCCCTGAGCACTTCCACAGAACTGGCCTTGCCTGGGCCTGGGGCTCACCTGGCTGGCAGGGGTCTGGCCCATCACCGCCTCATAGGGTGGGGGGAGCTCAGTGGGGTACGGCAGGCCGGGGCTGTTGATGGCAACATCATACAAAGTGCTGAATGGAGATGGAGCGAAGTCTAGGTGCAGGCCCCTGCAAAGGCAGAACCATCACACTGTCATTCCCTGAGCAGCAGCTGGACCGTGGACATTTCTCTCAAAGCAACCAGAACATGACTGTCAGCATCCCCTTGTCCAATGCGTGCCATGCTTGTGAAACAAGAGCCTCATCCACTAGCCGGTTTTTACTTTTGCTTTCTTCTGCAAAGACATCAACATTTTCCATAAACGGTATGGCCCTGCCCATTAAAATCGGTCATCAGACAGCTGATTGAATCTTTAAATTGTACATGTTCTATTAATGACTATAAATTGACAGCAGCCTTGTATATCACAAGGACACAACAAAGCTACTCCTGTCTGCCTATGTTTTCACTCTGGTTACACTGCAAAGACACTGGTAGGCACATTCTATTTCTAAGCACTTCTCTCCCCCCACTCCTTCTCTGTTCTCTTATCCAATGTGCTTTCACAGCTTGCTCTCGGTTCTGCTCGACTCCTCCCTGGAAAGCGAGCAGGACCACGTCAACTTCCGCACCCCCAAAACTGCTCCTTAGCTCGGTGGCTTCAGCATCGATTGCGGGGGACCAACGGAAAGACCAACCTCTGGGCCTCGGCTGAGGGCGTACAGGTGTACTCCGGGGGGTAGTAGGGGGGAGGAGGAAGGGGGGGGATGAACTCATCGAAGTCCAGGGTCTGGTGGAGGACGGTGCCGTGCGGGGTCATGCAGGCAGGGTTGGCAGAATGCGACCTTTGAGGAAGGAACTGGAAAACAGAAAGAATCGGAGTTACTTGGGACATCTTGCGTGGCTTGTGTCTGATTAAGCTAATTATACACAAGCTTTAATGATCAGCGTGGAATGTCTGTAATTTAAACTGTCAAGCCAAGACTGCTAAATACACACTTTAAAATGATGGCTCCGTGAGGAACGCCTTTCCCTGGAGGCCTCATTACGCTTTGTTTCCCATGCTGTTATTCGGAATGCCTCTTTTTTTGGAGAAAAAATACAGTCTGGGAAGTCTTTAATACTATCCCTACTGTAAGCATGGCTCCTCCAATCACACTACTCAAAGACTGTGGTCAAAAGCGTGCCTGATGACCCTGGTTTAAGACAGCACTTCCTGAAGTGTGTTCATGAGACCCTCAAGATATTCCCACACTGCCCTTCAAATTCCTTTAGTGAAGTATGTTTGGGAAACGCCACAGATTGTCCTTCCTTCCTGGAGCCCTGCAAAGAGCATTAGCGTGTTAAAGGTCCTGAGGAGACGTGTGTTGATAAATCCATTTAACTCTTCAACCTTTAACCCAACATTTCTCAAATATTTCATTAGACACACAGTATCTAATAATATTTTGCAGTTCGAGGGAATTCACATACTTTGTAAAATGCTGCTCTGAGGGAAAAAGACATTCCTTCATGAGCTCTGGAACATTCTGTGGGGCAGCCTTCCACACTGAAATGCTGCTCCAGCAAACTGAGGTGGAAATCACTTTAACCAAATGGAAGCCATCTCTGCTGGTTTTCTGTTTCTGAAGTACTAACCAGTACCTGCTTTTCTTTCCACCCTCTGGTCACTGCTGCCCAGAGGCAACCTGTGGGTGGTGATGCTGAGACATTGCCCCCGTTCAGTCGATGTCAGGCCTTAAAAACTAACGCCACCTTAAGTGACATTACAAGCGGTGCCATTATGGGCCCACAAGGGTGTATTAACGTGGCAGCCTAAGACGGCGCCAGGAGGAAGTAGGGTGGGAGTGTCTGCGGGAACCTTGCCTTAGCCCTTATTGGCCAAATACGCGCTTCCGTGCTCGTGAACACTGTGTGATTGCAATAGCTAGGCACTGAGACAGGATGCATGCTCTCCTAACCTTTAAGCTGATTGGAGGACGTAAAAACCTCCCTTCCCCATTTGCCTTTAAAAGCAAGTGCTTGTGTGATAATAAACGGAACTGCTCGACAGAACCCCGCCGCGTCTGAGTGTTCTTTAACCGGGCTGGTTGGGGCCGGCGGCTGTGCTCACCTCTCTTCATGGCCCTCTTCCTCAGTCTCCTCTCAACAGGGACTGGGGAAAGAGGAATCTGGGCAATCCGCCCGCCCACCAGAAGGGACACCAAGGGAGAGACTGATAGCAAGGCAAGGGCTGTTCAGGTCAGCCAGTGGCAGACCCGACAAGTCGACACCTCTGTGAGTGTCTACAGGTGGGAAGGACCCTGTGCTACGAGGGCCCTGTGCCCTGGGGCCTCTGCCTGCATGGCCAGTGAAGTAGGAGGAACCAGGTGAGGGTAAGACCAGGACCCACCATCACCTGTGCACAGCCAAACAAGGATGGCTCCAGGAGAAACAGGAAAGGCTCCAAGCACTGCGTGGGAACCATGAGGATGACGTCAGATGGGCCTTGAAAGATTGGCAGGGTTTCAACAGGTGGGCTCGCAGGCTCAAGAACAGGTGAGCGAGTGAAAGATGTGTTTAATACAAGCAAATTGATAAGTCTCTAGAAGACAAATCTTACTTCTGGGGATGCTGGGGAGCCAGTGAGGGTGTTGGGGCTGGGAGCAGGGGTGGTAGGTGGGCTGAAGTGGATGGAGCCAGAACATTAGAACAGTTTTGCACTAGTACAGGTGAGGTCACAATTCTGAATATGCTGAGAAATTGGCATGCTCTAGGCTGATGGAGAAAGAATGTGTCCAAACATGTAATACAACCAAAAATGGCTCCTGTGTCTTCCTAACACACAGAGCACACCCCTCGCCTTTCTGGCTTGGTCTGACCCACAGCTATGTTTGTTTAATTGTCTGAAATAGAGGTGAATCAAAGGCTACGAGCAGGTTGAATGTGTGCCTGCCGGCGTCTGCCTTGCAGGGCTGTTAGTCCTGGGGCTTACTGCACAAAGCCGAGCGGCTAGGAGGAGGGTGAATGTCCCTGAGGTTTGATAAGGGAATACTCTGAATTAGCCTCTATCAGAAATTAGAAAAATCAATAACATACTCAAACTAGGAAATGCAAAGCAAAACCTATTAAAGGTACAATTCCACAAGGTATGAGAATAAGCATTTTTGAGAGAGGCCAGGAGCTCCAGATGATCCTTTCAGCAGGCTGGAGTGAGTAGAAGCTGCCACACACTAGGGGCTTGTTAAAGGCTAAAGGATAGGCTCTGTGTCTGCTCTAAGCTCCAGATCACCTTTCCGGGGCTGTGTTGGCCCCACCTTAGTGGAAGCATCCCAGACTCAGCGGGTTTCAAATGAAGCCTCTTACCTTGGCTCCTCAGCCTCCCAGAGAAAAGCCTGCAAGTCTTGCTTGAGCTCTTCCCCACCATCAGTGTCTCTTTAATGAGGCAGTCTGTCTTGCAGCCCAAGGTCACCAGCTCTGTCCTCCTCTCTGAGATGCTGGCGCTAGAGGTCTGCAGACTGCATGTCCCAGGCTCCCTTGCCAGCAGGCTCCCTGCTAGGTTCTGCCACAGGGGGATGGGAAGGTGGATGGTGGCCAGAGGGGGTGGCTGTTACCCTGCTCGCTCCCTTCTGCTCTCCCAGCTCTGAGGGGGGATGGCTGCTTTCTGGGGTTACCCACCTCTGTGTAACTTCAAGAGCAATTTCTCTTCCTGACTGGCCAGGGGCCTCTGTGTTTCATCCACCTCTGTATTCCACTCTGGCCACAGCAGGGGTTCAATAAATACCTGCTGAGCAGACAAACAGACGCCTCCTCCCCGGGTACCTCTGCCCAGCCCCTGGAGAATCTCCTCCGCGCGGGCATGTGTGTGGCCCTGCCTTGATTTTCCGCCTTTGGAATTCAGTCTCCATCCTGCTGGCTGAGCTATGATTTTTAAGCCAATCCAATCATGTCACTAGTGTTGAAAACTCGTTTAGGAGTGAGACCCCTGCTCACTAATCCCATCTAGTTTCCAGCTTCACGTAGTGGGTAGAAAATGGACTCTGAATTGTCTCCTTGTTCCCAGGTTGTTCTGCTTGCCCTGGGCTATCTGTAACTCGTCTGGTCCTATCTGTGTGGTGACAAAGTTCCACCTGTGCCTGGTACCCAGCTGAGGCATTCACACACCTGATGAGAGCATCCCTAAGTGACCAAGGCCGTCACCCACACAGCAGGAGTGTGTGTCGGAGAGCATGCTCTAGAAAAGCCCCTGCTCTCCTGCTGTCTGCTCTGGGGAGAGGAGATTCCTACTTACACGTGTGCCGCTTTTCCAGGTGCATCTAGAAGTGGGGGGAATGAGGATGAGATCTGGGGCTATCTGGGCTCAGGCAGCTTCCCAAGGTCTGCTTAACACAGGGCCCCTAAAACATGGTTGCATCTGCACAGCCCAGAGTCTGGGATCTGAGGGAGAACACGAGGAGGTCAGGGGCACCGCCCGACGGCTGAGGGCCCACCTGATGAATCTGTGTCACATATGTGAGCTCTTCTGCCCTGCGCCTGCGCCTTCCGCCATGGGGGTGTGGGGAGGAGGGCAGGCAGGCCACCAGGGGCCTGGAGACAAGGGGCTGGGATTCCCAGGACACCTTGGGGTTCTGAGCCACCTCCTCTCCTCCAGCCCCAGGACAGGTCTGCTCACCTTCCTGTGCCCGCAGCTGCCCTCCCTGCCTCACCAGCAAACAGAGCTCCATCGCCCAGCTTTCCCGCCACATTCTGGCTCCTGACGGGAGCACACACCTTCGAGATTTTCCAGCAAGACTAAGAAATATGAGGGTACTGCAAAAAGTTTGTGGAAAAATAGGATTGAAAGGTAATACTGATCTTTTCCTGAACTTTTTGCAGTACACTCATACAGAGTAAAAGCCTCTACCCCACTGCAGACTTGGTAGAAATAGCAGGATTACTACAGCAGAAATTTTCTTAATCAGCCTCCTGTCACCAACCCACCAGAGGAGCTGGTGCTCCAGACCCTGGGGTGATACTGCCCACAATGCTGCTTTCCAGTTCTGCCGCCAACCCCCGGTGAGTCCATGCCCAACTTGAGGCGGCAGGGAGACCTTCCCACACAGAGTGAGGCCAGTTTCAGTTATTACAGTAATTGCGGAATGAAATATGGATGCAGGCAAGAGGAGGTGCTTGTTGTATGAAAACCAAGTTGAATGCTTTGGAAAGACTCGATAAAGGAGAATAGCTAAGCAGAAATTGCTCCCAAATAGGTCTGGGCAAGGCAGTTCTAAGAGAGTGGAGGAGAATCAAATGTCTAGGGGAGTTCTGCACTCGGATTGCTTCCCATGGCTCACTCCACTTTAGAGGAGCTGAATCTGGAAATCATTCATGGTGCAATTTCCATGAAGTTTACGTAGGAAATACAACCAGGCACACCAAACAGACCCATAACCAAAGGAAAAGCACAGCCCCAAATCACAAAACTAGTGGACAAGTGGTCATTAGCATATTTAAAATAAAAATAAAATGTTTATGATATATACGCATTATTTTTATGACTGTCTGATTTAACTAGCTGTTTAATCAGCCGCCCACTGGTACTGGTCTGATTGATATGGAGCACCTACCACCCAGAGATGATTCTGCTAAGCCCAGATTGCAAGGACCTCAAGGTCACTGTGGGTCCAAGGAGAGCCACCTTCAGCAGGTGCTGCCAGCACTGGGGTAAGGTGGAGAGGAGAAGATATGGGTAAGCTTGGGTGATTCTGGGGACCCAGGAGGTAGTGTTATGTCCCCGACTGGCCAGCACCACTTACCGGCTCCATGTCCACAGTTACCAGGTCTTGTGGAAGGCACAGGGCCNCGGAACTGCTCGACAGAACCCCGCCGCGTCTGAGTGTT